AAAGAGTTACCACACTGTAGTAAGAATCTAATTCTCAGTTTGGTGGATCCAAAAACTTAATTTTTCTTTTTTTATGCTTTATTGTGAATTATGTGATAGTTTACATGAGGGGACATCAACTTCACATTGATCCCGTCGTATATCATTTCCTTGCCTTAATTACAATCCTCTCCATGCATCATTGATCAACCAAAGGGTATACCATGCAAGCCTGCCCCCGGTCATCAGCACACAGCCCCTCTCCCTCTCCGGGTCCAAAGTCTCCAGCCGCTCCATCTCCCCATGTCATCATCTCTGCCTCCATCCCTAGCATCACTGCTTCTCTGGGTAGGGTTCCGTTCTCTGCTCTTCTCCTCTGATGGTCTCAGGGACCTCCATTCCTAGACTGTAAGGTTACTCACTCCCCTCCCTTTGACCCAAAACATCCACCTTTACATTCCCAGCCCTTACAATCAGCCCTGATAACAATTATTCGCTGTTGTATCACAAGGGACCTATCTGCATCTCCTTTCATCAGCCCTTGACTAGGCAGAATGGATACTACTCAGTGAAGATTCATTCTACCTTGCTCCACGCCCTCTGAATCTAGGTTCCCTCTTGAAAGCTTGTAAGCCAGTCACTTCTTGCCTCTGTAGCCCACCATTCTGGGTAGCCAATGTCCAAGTTGCCCATCCTTGTCCTCTCCGTGTGTGGATGAGGTGGGAATGATCCTCGCTGTGAAGATTTGTTCACTCTTGAGCTATTGCTTCCATGGATGTGTGTCAAGATCATTAAATTTTGTCAGATTATTCTTTTTTCCCTCTTCTTTCTTCTGTTTGAGCTCTGATCATCTGGCTATTGAAGCCAGGTCAAATGTGGATGTTAATTATTTTTTTAACTGTAAGATCAAAATGGACCAAGCTTAAACTAATTCACTCTTAACAAATTCATGTGAGACTGTTCTGTGAATTAGAAAGAAGAGTTTTAATTTGCCATATAAGTGGTACACCTTCCCAGTTGTAAAAATAAATATGATGCCTATTTCGGTAACCCCTTTCATATAAGCCATGCAATAAGAAGGTTGTTTAGTAAGCAGAGAATCAGCACAAAGGGAATAGATTTGTCTTTAGGGATGTTTGTTTACTTTATCCAGTCTGTGAAAACTTCTGATCAGACATCCTGGTGAATCCACAGTAACCGAAACACCTCAAGTATAATGTTATTTTCTTTGAGAGCAAATAAGTTCTAATGTTTTATTTAGATCTCCACTTACCATGCTATTTTTTAAACTATATTACAATATAAGTACATCCTGCTTTAAATGACTAGATTTTGTTAATTTAATTGAACTTAGATGATCAGCAGTTCACTTCTTAAGGTAGATTATTCCTAACAGTGATTATATTTATATACTTCTTTAGAGTTGTTTTCATCCACATTATTTGTAGTAGTAGTAGTGGGATGCTATAAGGGATCCATACATTACAATTATTGTTGGACTCTAGATTTGCATTTTGCATTTTTAACTCTTGATTATTCTTGATGTTTAGTTACTTAGTTCAAATAAATGTTTTAATTTAGAAAAGCAAAACTAAATAGGAATATCATGACTTTGTTTTTAAACTCTGCTTCACCCATTTAGTTGTTTTTGGACTATACCATAAAATGCTATGAGAGTTTTATGACTGGTGCCGACAGCTTTGAAGAGATGAACACAGAGTTGCAGTCAAAGCTAAGTAAGTGTTCTTTGTTCCTAATGAGTTTGCTTTGGGTCATTTAAATTAACTCTGCTTATAGAGAAAGATGAGACTGTCTGCTCCCATAAAGATTTATAATGTCCTAAACATTAAGGAGTAGTTCTACTCTGTCTACAGAGTTGCTGTGAATCAGAATTGACTCAGTGGCAGTGAATATGGAGTTGTAGTTTATCACAACCTACTCAGTATTAATGTAAGCCACACTTTAAATGCATTTTGATGCCTGCTGATTTTGTCTTCATGGTTTCTTTGGCGGTGAGAAGTAATAAGCACAAAGAATGTTAAGATATAACCCCTTACTTGCTATGTGACCTAAACAACATACTTAACCTCACTAACCAAGTTTCGCAAGATTAAACGGCAATGTATGAAAGTACCAGACTACCAGGAGCACAGAAGATAACCAGGGAATGTTATTTCTCTTGGAGAACAGTATACTTATGATAGCCTTGCTTTGTGCACCAATTTAAAGCACCAGTTAATCAAAAGGCTTAATATCTCTCAAAATTTGTGCAAGAAAGTTAATGGTCCAGATTACACATTTATTTCACTCAACTATAATCTAATGGCTAACTTGAAAATGTTCAATAGAAATTATTTAACATTGTTATTCTTTCTACTACAGTAGTCGTTTCTATAAAATGCCAGAATGGTAGGTAAAATAGAGACAAAGCAAGAGAAAATCATCTTGCCACTATTAGCACAAAGGTATAATCTTTCCCCTATGTTCCCTTCAGGATTGTACCTTCCTGAAGAGTAGCCAGAACAATTGTATCTTCTCCACATGGGACAGGGAGCAAGATAAATAATAAAGTATGGGGATTTTTGTTTTTTTTCTTGGAGGGGAGGGAATTCCAAAAGAGAAATATTTGTAATGGGTCAAATACAGAAAGTTATCTAGTATTTAACTTATATAAATATTATTTATATAACTAGTATTTAACTATTTAATATTTATATTTTTAATTACTTATATACATTGCGTTCATTTATTCAAACAACTGCTTATTGTGTGCCTACTGTGTGCTGGCTACCATTTAGTCATTGAAGATACAGTCATGAATAAAGATAAAAATCCCTACCTTATGAACTTAACATTCTAGTAGACAGAAAGACAATCATGTGAATAACTTAAGTCAAATAGTGGTAAGTACTATGGAGAAAACCAGTGGACAGAGAGTGCAGTGGAATCAAGAAACGAATTTTCTATTTTAAAGAAGGTAAAATGTAAGAAAGTGAGGGAGAAAGCAGTGGTGAAACCCTGGTGAAGAATGTTCTAGCAGATTGAGATCTTATAAAATCTTTTGGTTTTGTCTCCAGAGGATTTATTTAATGTAGATGCTTTCAAGCTGGAATCATTAGCAGCAAAAAACAAAGCACTAAATGAACAGATTACAAGATTGGAACAAGAGAGAGAAAAAGAACCGGTTAGTAAACATGCTTATCTTTAATAGGCATATACATTTAGATCCTTGGATCTCCTCTCAGAGAATACTTTTTTTATTAAAAAAAAAAATTTTAATTAACATGTACTTCATAAAGATTAAATTTTTTTACATAGGACAGAATTCCCTATGAAAACATGTTTGGTATTTGGAGAGCTTTGTTTTCCCTTGGGGTCTGTAAGTCTGAAACTAATGGTGTTTAGTATATGATGAAAGATTCTTACTGCTTTGCATAAGACCAAAAGTATCTTGTACAATATCCCCATATTACATACCTTCCGGGAGTATTATCCACAAGAGACCTTGAATTTTGTAGTTAAAGAAAAATGAGCGATAATAAATAAGATAATATAATGTGTGGTATCCTGAGGCCTTTCTAAAAGCTGAATGTAAATAACCATATGTTGAATCTTATTTTGTGTGTTATGTTACTAAAGTACCCAGTCTATATAAAATATCAGCTTAAAATATTTCTGCTTTTCTACCATAGCCTTTGGTTTAAGTCCCCTATTTTAATTTTTATTCTTTTGACTTTTTCTAAAACTGAAAGGAAAACTAATTTACCTTTCTCTAAGATTAATTTAAATATTGTTTACTTTCAAATACAGTATGGAATGTTTATTTATAAGAGACTTTAATTTCATGTTGTTTTCTCTTAAAGAATCGTCTAGAGTCATTGAAAAAACTGAAAGCTTCCTTGCAAGCAGATGTTCAAAAGTATCAGGCATACATGAGCAATTTGGAGTCTCACTCAGCCATTCTTTATCAGAAATTGAATGGTCTTGATGAAGATATTGCTAGAGTAGGTAAGCTCATCTAATGCTAACATATTATCATTCACACTGGGATATGATGTCTGTAAGAGTTGTCACATATAGAGACAGATTTGTCATCCATATCCTTTTTCCCTCAGGCTCCCACATTTTTGTTGTTTTTCCTTGGCTTCTGTAACAAAATACCACAAACCGGATGGCTTAAGAATACAGAAATTATTCTCTCACAGTTCTGGAAGCTTGAAGTCCAAAATCCAGCAATATCATGCTCCCTCTGGGGACTACAGAAGAGAATCTGTCCCTTATCTCTTCCGAATTGTGGTGGCTCCTGACATTTCTGGGCTGTACACACATTACTTCACTGCCTGTCTCCATTTTCACATTGCTTTCTCCTTCTGTGTGTCTCTCCCTATATTTATAAAATCTACCTCTGTCTCTTACCAATACTTGTGATGGTGTTTTGGGCCCACCCAGATGATCTAGGTTAATCTCATCTCAGGATTCTTAATCACATCTACAAAGCACCTTTCTCCAAAAAAAAGTAAGTTACAAGTTCTAGACATTACAACTTGGTATCTTCAGATGGCTAGAAATTATTATATCTTACATGTTATCATACTCTTGGAAAATATGTTTCCTGGATATAAGTATTTACATCTAATATGAATCTAGGAAACTGAAGGTTTTCCAAAAGTTGTCAAGGTATTTAATTACTTGAAGATAGATATCCTAGACATTGGTGAGATAAAATGGATAATTATTGGCCATTTTAAATCAGGCAGTTTTATGATATATTATGAATGAGTCCTGGTGTGGCACTGTGGGTTAATGTGCCAGGCGGCAAAACTGTTTGAACCCCAAGGTCAGCGGTTCAAGCTCACCAGCTGCTCCTTGGAAACCCTATGCAGGGTTGCAGTGGGTCAGCACCAACTCGACAGCACTTAACAACAACAACAACATGCCATGAATGACAAATTAAAGAGAACGGTACTACTTTCATCATCAAAAAGAACATTTGAAGATCTACCCTGAAATACACTGTTGTCAGTGATAGGATAATACCCATACACCTACAAGGAAGACTAGTTAATATGACTATTATTCAATTTATGCAACATCCACTAATGAATGCCAAAGATGGAGAAATTGAAGCTCTCTCTATACCATCTACTAAGAAGCTCTGGTAGTGTAGTGGTTATGAGTGGGGCTGCTAACCTCAAGGTCAACAGTTCGAAACTACCATCCGTACCATGGAAGAAAGAGTAGGCTTTCTGTTCCCATAAAGATTTACAGCCTCGGAAACCCTGTACAGGATCACTGTGTGTTGGGACCAACTCCACAGCATAGCACCACCACCACCATATCAACTACTACAATCAGAAATTGATCAAACATGCAGTCAAGGTACATACATGGATAATTATTGGTGATTAGAGTATGAAGTCTGGAAACAAAAGGAATCAATAGTTGAGAAATATGGTCTTGGTGATAGGAAAGACACTTAGGGATCATATGATAAAATTCTGCAAGAACAATAACTTTTTGATTGCAAATACTTTATATCAGCATAAACAGTGACTATATATATGGGCTTCACAAGATAGAATACACATATAGTCACTTTGTAGCACTGGATTGTGAACCACAAGGTCAGCAGTTCAAACCCACCACCTGCTCCTTTGAAACCCTACACAGGGTCACTATGAGAGTCAGGGTTGATTCAAAGGCACTTAACAACAACAACAAATATGTGTGGCCCTCACCAGATAGAATACACAGGAATCAAATCACTATCTCTGTGGAAAAGTCAATGTCAGCAATCAAAACAAGGCCGGGGCAGACTGCAGAATAGACCATCAATTGCTTTTATGCAAGTTCAAGTTGAAGCAGAAGAAAATTAAAACAGGTCCACCTGGAGTATGCTGTCTTTGTTGTTAAGTGCCGTCCAGTCAGTTTCGACTCACAGTGACCCTATATAGGGTTTCTCAAGTGCAGCTGATGGTTTTGAACCACCAACCTTGCAGTTCACAGTCCAGTGCTTAACTACCAGTATCATACAAGGACCTTGAGAATAAATAGCCTATCTGAATTTAGAGACAATTTCAATAGATTTGAAGCATTGAACACTAATGATGGGACACCTGATGAGTTGAAGGATGATATCATGTGTATCATATCTGAAGAAGGCAAAAGGACATTAAAAAGCCAGTAAAGAAAGAAAAGACCAAAATGATGTCAAAAGAATACTGAAACTTGCTATGGAACATGGAGTAGCTAAAGCACCTAGAAGAAATGATGAACTAACAGAGCTAAACAGAAGATTTCAAAGGACAGCTCAGGAAGATAAAGGAAAATATAGTGAATGTGCAAAGATCTGCAATTAGAAAAATAAAGGGGAAGCACACACTCAACATTTCTCGAGCTGAAAAAACTGAAGGAAAAATTAAAGCCTCAAGCTGCAATTTTGAAGGATTCTATGAATAAAATATTGAACGACACAAAGATGGAAGGAGTACAAAGAATCACTGTACCAAAAGAATTATTCGATGCTCAACCATTTCAGGAGGTAGCATATAATCAAGAACCAATGGTATGGACAGAAAAAGTCCAAGTACTGAAGACAAGGCTCCAGGAATTGATGGGAAACCATTAGAGATGCTTTAACAAATGGAGTACAACACTGGAACGTTCACTCATCTCTGCTAAGAAATGTGGAAGACCACTACCTGGCCAGTTGACTCGAAGAGTTCCAAACTTAATCCTTTGCAAGGAAAGGTGATCCAACAGAAGGAGGAAATTTACAATATCTTTAATGTCACACACAAAATTTTGCTGTAGATAACTCAGAAACTGTTGCAAGTGTACATTAACAGGGAACTGCCAGAAATTCAAGCTGTATTCAGAAGAGAATATGGAAAGATAGATATCTTTGCTGATGCCAGATAAATCTTAGTTGAAAGCAAAGAATACCAGAAAAATGTTTACCTGTGTTTTACTGACTGTGCAAAGGCCTTCAACTGTGATGACCATAACAAATTATGGATAACATTGCAAAGAATGGGATTTCCACACTTAATTGTGCTCATATAGAACCTGTACATAGAAAAGAGGCTGTCTTTCAAACAAAAAAGGGATACTAAATGATTTAAAAATCAGGAAAGATATGTGTCAGGATTGTATCCTTTCACCACACTTAATCCATCTGTATGCTAAGCAAATAATCCAAGAAGTTGGATTATATGGAGAAGACCACAGCATTAAGATTGGAGGAAGGCTCACTAATAACCTGTGATATGCAGATGACACAACTTTGCTTGCTGAAAGTTTGCTGTTGTTATGTACCATGGAGTCAGTTCCGACTAATAATGACCCTG